ACGTTCCCTTATTATCCTCTTCTTATTCCCATTACTATTTCCTTCTCATTCGGTGGTTATAATAGGAGCTGCCTAGTATGGGCCAATGGGCCCTCTGCAGTTCTTATTCCTACTACTATCCCCTCTACTACACCTTACTTTGCTCCTCACCTCTCTCTTGCCTATTTATTGCCTGCATCTACTTCCTCATTCACATCTTCACAGACGGATCGGTGGACACAGAATATGAGAGTGCTGGCGCTGCTCTTTGCACGGCCAGCGTACAGGCATATTGGAGACTGGGAGGACTAGTATCATCAACCCAAACTGAGCTGTTTGCCATACAACAGGCATTCGCATATGTGATTGCACAAAACACTCAAAATGCAATCATACACACAGACTCAAAAGCTGCACTTCAAATACTAGGACAAAAACAGTGGAAAGATAATGTGGAAATAATTACCACCATTTTGTATCTTGGAGCAGTCGCTAAAGGCAAAGGACTCAACATAACTTTAAACTGGATCCCATCCCATATTGGAATCCCCTTAAATGAAAAAGCTGATGAAATTGCTAAATTGGCAACTCGTCATCCAGTGATACATAAAACAATTCAACCCAGCCTAGAGAACATAAAAAACATCATCACCAAAAAACTCTCACATCTCAACAAAGCCTACCTGCACCAGAGAATAGCTGAAGGTTCGCCATCTGCAACATGGTATCTTCAGGCCACCAAATTAGAAAGGTTAAATATCCCAAAAGAAATCCACAGGGAAATAGCAGTTAGGTTATACAGTGGAACCTCTATTAACGAGTGGCTCTATTAACGAGTTTTTCCAGTAACGAGCAAGCCACTCGCAGCAAATCTGTCTCTATTGACGAGCTCGCCTCTATTAACGAGTGAAACCACATGGCGCTTCCTAGCGTCTCGCGGGTTCTCGCAAATTCTCGGACGCCTCCGACGCCAGTGTTGTTGTTGTATCTCACACGACAAGCATCCCTCTGGATTTATTTGAGCTTTTCTTTGGGTTTTTAGTGGTTTTGCGACTACAATTTGTAACACAATGTCTCCAAAGAAGCTGCTTGCTAAAGATAGTGTTGTCAAGAGGAAGAAAGACACAATTACTGTGGATTTAAAGAAGGAAATTATAGCAAAGCATGAGTGTGGTGTCTGTGTGATTGATCTCACAAGGAAGTATGGCAGGTCCTCATCAACAATTTACACCATTAGTAAGGGAATGAGGAGGTAAGGGAGGATGCTGCCTCTTCCACTGAGATCAGGGAAGTGTTTGGAATGTTTGAAAAGGTGAACGCATTCTTGGAAAAGCTGCCCTGATAAAGCAGTGACAACCCGGTGTGTGAAAATGTTTAATTAATTTATCACTTTGTGATAACACTTTATGAAAGTGTTATCACTTTCGCAGGTATATGTCGCTTGAACGTAACACACTTTTTTTCTCTTGAATGCACCCAAACACCGCGCTCAAGCGTCATTTGAGCAAATATTTCTATAAAATCCAATTCTTATCTGATCGACTTGGGGATTGTATACATGTTTGCCATGAAATTTCCGTTTTCTTTAATAACCACATTGCCTATTTGAGAGAACGGCATTGTATTGTATCTTCGTGGTAAGACTATTATATTGTTGACACAACGAATGTAATCAACGTAGTTTTTTAATTGGTGCTGGTCTAATGCATCCTTGTGTGACATTTGAAACAAATGTCATGGGTTCGTATCCTTTCCTTAACTGGGTGAAAAAACGATTTCCAAGAAGAGAGAGTTTGCCTGACTCAGAGGTGGATTCTCCTTCCACACCATAACCCCTCTCATCCTTCCCACCTCCCCATCGTCTCCCTCAAGCCAGCAACTACTCTTCATAAGGTAAAGTAAATATTAAAACACTACAACAAAACATTTATATTTACATGTGCAATATTATATTTACATAAAAAAAGTCATACAAGTATGGATGTTTTTGGGAGTGGAACGGATTAAATTTATTTCCTTTATTTTAAATGGGGAAATTTGTTTCCAAAGACGAGTTTTCCAGGTAACGAGCTCGGTGCCAGAACGGATTAAACTCGTTAATAGAGGTTCCACTGTATAGACTACGTCTAGGTTACAGATGCAACTGGGAGATTGGTGAACCCCGACAGAGAGAGTGCATCTTCTGCCAAACTGTCACAGAAAAGCCATTACTTCACTATCTTCTGGAATGTGAAGCAACCAGTGACCTTAGAAGAGCTTTAAGAGTTCCTGAATCATGCAGTGGCCACCCTGAAGCCATCAACACAGCCACTCTCCTGGTCAACAAAGGTGTTCAGCAGCTGGACACCCTCATAAAGACTGTGAAGCAGTATCCTCCCCCGCAATAACAGCTTGATGGTTAAATGCAAACTCAGAATACTGAGAAAAAAAAAATTGTACCACTTATGGGCTATTCATGCCTGTGCCATGTCTTGGGTGGCTTAATCTTCATCAATCAATCTTCCTCATCACAATTGACTTGAGAATGGTCCAGGACGGACCGAAACGTCGTCGTCCCTTCACCTTCTAGTGTGTGGTCTGGTCAACATCAACACACTCCTCAACACGAAGTAGAGACAACTGGCTGCAACCTGAGACCCAAAGCAACACAAGAGTGATCAGGCCCAGGAACATTAACTAAATATTAGGCGGCCAGGACCTTGTTTGACCTCCTAAATCCCTGCGCCTGAATATCAGCCCAAGACATGTTGCCAAACACGGAGGCCAACGCATCAAACTTCATAACATTATGGTCACGACGTTAGACCGCAGGCTGGCTAGACTAATAACCTTGTAGACAACCTGGGAGACCCAAGTCCTGGAATAGGGAATGAGGGAAACCGGATCAACCCAAAGCACATCCCCGACCACAGAAGCCGAAACACGCAGGTAACGGCAAAGAGCCACAACCAGACACAAGACATGATGCACCTCCTGCCTGACCAATCAAGCATCAATAACCCAAGGACCACTCCGGAAAGCAGCTGTCTCATTCTTTGCCAGAAAAGAAGGAGAAGGCTGCAACCGAACAAACCAACCACCATGACTGAAGGAGCAGAAACCCCTGCACCGGAGGAGAGCATGAAACTCATTGACCTGATCCCCAGAGTAAAATGCCAACAGAAACGGAGCCTTGGAAAAACAAATCCTGAACTGAAAGGGCCACCACGAACTGAGGAGAAGATAAGAGAACACCCTGTTCAAGGACCAGGACGGCTCAGGCGGTGCATGAGCAGGCCGGAGGTAAAACAAAGCATGAGAAAGCTTATGGAACAGGGCAGAAGTAGCATCCACCCTGAACGCAAGTTGGAGCATCTCCGTCAATGCAGCACGATACGAGGCGACAGAATTAGGCATCAAATGACAGTCCTGAAAAAGCCAAGACACAAAGAACAAGACAATCTCTTTAGAAATAGAAAACGACCTACAAAGAGAGAGAAAATGGAGGGAAAGAATCCCAGGAAACTTCATACTGTCGCCAAGATGAAGCTGTTAGGTGGGACACCATCAATGAAAGCCACCTGATCACCATACAAATGGTGATAAACCCGCTTCAAAAAGACCAGACGCGAAGAGTGAAGGAAAAGACTGAACTGGCCCATGTACCGGACCGGTCTGACCTGCTGGAAGAAGCGGAGCCGCGGAAAATGCCCTGTGTTCGGACACTGAGCAAGCAGCTCCTAAAACCAAGACTGGGCTGGTCAACAAGGGGCCATCCTGGCCCCTTGGTGACCTGGTGACCCCCCTAGCCACCTTCTTACTCTAAGGTGAACAAGGATGCCAGAACACCACATCACACAAAGGGCGGCCAAAAGCCGAGCAGCAAACAACCAAGCAGAGGCAGAACCCAAGGAACTTGTGGAAGGAGACCCCAAGCCCCAAGGGCAGTATTTACTGGGCACCTAGGGAAAGGGACCCTAGATGCATGCAGCACAAGTACTGAAGAATTAATCCTGGCTTGTGCACCCCCAAGAAGACAGCCATCACACCAAACAAAAACAGACCTGAGGACCAATTCAGGAGCCAGAGCACACGACTTCCGTCTAGCACATCAGCCTTAGAACTGAGGTCTTGGGTACCTGGCACGAGGGGTTTGGGGCTCCCCTTCCTCCTCCCAGGGAGGGGAAAGCTGCACAGACAGCAGCACGGCGACGTCATGCTTGTTTGCTCGCTTTTGTTTGGGGAGTTCTGTCCACTAGTTCGTCTCTTAGTAGCAATTTCTTAACCAGAATAGGGGTTTGTTTTGGGATGCTTACCTTTCTGGGTGCCTGACCCGGTCGATGGCATACATAGAATGCTTCTAACCACATGGGAGTTTTCTATAAGCCAATGATCCTTATGCCTCTCTGAGTGGGCCAGGTTTTGGCTCATGGTCCCTGGTAGGCTTAAGAACTCTATTCACAATGACTGATGCCAAAGACTAATATTTGCAATAACAGACTGGATAGCTCCGGAAAGCCGACGAGCCAGAAAGGGCTCGAGACTTTCCAATACGCTTTCCCTACACATTCAGGGCATAACTGGCCGACTTCTCACAGTGCTCAAAAGAGAGCTCGACAAGCACCTTCAAAGGATACTTGATAAACCAGGCCGCAACTCATATGTCAGGCTGCGAGCATCTGCCTAGAACAGCCTGGCTGATCAGCTCTGACGAGCCAGAAGGCCTGGTCAGAGACCGGGTCACAGGAACACTGATCTCCGAAATTGTCAGAAGGTAGACAACAGGTAGTCATCTCATCTTGTAACTACACTTAGGAATAAACGCTCATCGCTTCATTCACAGATGTGCATAGCTTCATTCACAGATATGCATGGCTTTATTCACAGATGTGCATGGCTTCATTCATAGACATAAACCACTTCATTCACACGTATTCATCACTGTGGAAAATTATATAAAAATTATACATGAAAGAATATCGTGTGTTCCTAACATCAACCTGTTACAAGCTAATTAACAGTTAATGGACATCTTTAAATACCTTGTTCCTTGACTGCCTTCTCCTTGTCAAAGCGAAAATTTCTAAGCTTAACCTCTCTCGATTCTGTTTCATCAATTGTTCCTTCTCCATCATTACAAGAGTTTATAGGGGTAAGTTGTCTTACATCTTCAACAATCATATCACTGCTTTCACATGTGTCAGAGTTTTCTGAAAAAATTTAAATTAACAAGTAAATTAGATTCAGTTACATCAAAAGGAATGTTCAAGATGATACCAGTCATCAAATTACTGTATGGGTCACCTTATAGGTTCCCGTAGTTGAAAGGAGGGGGGGGGGGAAGGGGTAACAAAGCATGTTATGCTTAAAGAGGTCCTCCTGGCCCAGTATTGCTGCACTACTGAATAACGTCACATAGAATGGGGGGCCTGTCCTAGGAGCTGGTCTCAGAAGCTGTTCCTAGCAACCTATGACTAATGTTTAGTTGTTATACTTGGCTTTTATACTTTGCATTTTTTCAGAATTCATTTTGAGATTTTCATATGGTAATTGAACACATCTACTTTACAAGTGTAACAATTTGTGATCTGTTTATTAGATTGACTTTTGATTATCTGATGTTTATGCGCAAATTCATGCTCGTAATGGTAAGTCATCCAAGTTATTGCTATATCTAAATTATCCACATTAATTTTATCCCAACAGAAAGGACTCATTCAGACAGATCACCCCCCCCCCCTTGGGTGCTTATCTGGTACTTTGATTTGTCTTTGAATTATTATGCTCTACTTTGCATTACAAACTTAGGAGAGAGTACTGGACTAAAGATCCTTTCGCATTCAGAACTGTGTTATACGTTCAGTATTCATATGCCGTTCTCGTCACAGTGATGACACACACTGCACCCCTAAGCCTTCGGTCAAAGTTCGTGATTAACTGATCAGGTAGGGAGTTTACTATTCTTTTACAGAGTGCATGGAATGGTACCTCTACAGTTAATTAACTAATTACCTACATTCCAGTAGGACAACTGTTGCCCTTAGCCTCACTAGAGTGCAGGGTACAGACCTCCCTATACAGTAGTACCTTTGTTCATGATCTTAATCCGTTCCCAGACACATCGTCATCCAAAAATTCATCATCCAAAATGAATTTTTCCGTAAGAAATAATGTAAATCTGTTACACACACCCCAAAAATATTAACTTAAAAATACATTTTACACAGAATGCTAGTCATATTTTTCATACACAAAACAATCAGGTATAAATATAAGCCATAAATAAAATAAGTGAACATTTAACTGCATTGAGGACTCTTGTTGGCGTATGGGAGACAGTGAGGAGGAAGGGAAGGAGGAGGAAGGGGGGTGTGAGACCGTCCCCTGCTCACGCATTCATATCTGCATCACTAGTTCCAATTTTCCTTTCAAACATTTCACTGCCTCTGTTATATGGCAGCCAGTCAGAACCAGTCACTTACAGTCACTAGTCAGTCATGCATTTCGAGCATTCACAGTTGTAGTAGAAACCGGTTAGGCATTTACTGTCTCCACTCGATTATCCGGACTATATGGGAAGGACCCCCAGCATGATAATCACGTTTTCTGGATTAGAGTACTTTTTCACCTCAGAGTCCAAAAGTGACCATTTCCAACTATTTTTATACTACAAACAACATAATTTGAATTGCCTTGCCACATGATTATTAAACATCCAACTAGAAACCTCAACTTACCTTGTTGTTCGTCTTCTTGATTGATGCCACACATCTTGAAGTTAAGAATTTTTGACAATTTATGTAACCTATACTAACACAACACAAATTAACACTTAAAATTACTGTACAGTTCATTAAGCAAAGTTAGTTTTGACTGCCAGCTGCTGAAGCCTCACTGGTTGAAGGCACTTGGGTTGCCTGTGAGGCCTCACTGGTTGAAGGCACTTGGCTTGCCTGTGACTCCTCACTGGTTGAAGGCACTTGGCTTGATTTTCTTACCATATAAGAATCAAGTTTAGCTTGTCTTCTGTGCTCATTGCCCTGTTGTATGATCAGCTCTTTAGTTCGACTCTGGTACTGATACATGTTTCCAACTTCTGGATTAGCACAGTTGGATGAAAATTAATTAATCCGTCAACATAGGTCATGAGTAAACTGTATTTCGTGATCAGTGGTGTTGGTTCATCACTGCCTTCTTCATCCAAACCCGCTGGGTTGTGACCCAGCGAGTTTTCTTCCCACTGGGCAGTGTTGTACATGCTGCTATGGTGGTACCACTCACAGGATGAGTGGCACTGCCCAATAAACTTGCCCCTCGGGGCAAAAATTTAAATGTTAAAGCCATCGTACAGCATGTCAACACCTCACGTGTTGACACACGTGGAGGGGAGTTGGGAAGGCTAGTGTAATTACTTAAGTGTAAATACCTAAGTGTAGTTACAGGATGAGAGCTACGCTCGTGGCGTCCCGTCTTCCCAGCACTCTTTGTCATATAATGCTTTGAAATTACTGACGATTTTGGCCTCCACCATCTTCTCACTTAACTTGTTCCAACCGTCTACCACTCTGTTTACAAAAGTGAATTTTCGTATATTTCTCCGACAGCTTTGTTTCGTTAGTTTAAATCTATGACCTCTTGTTCTTCAAGTTCCGGGTCTCAGGAATTCTTCCCTATCAATTTTATCAATTCCTGTTACTATTTTGAATGTAGTGATCATATTGCCTCTTTTTTTCTTCTATCTTCTAGTTTTTGCATATATAATGCCTCTAACCTCTCCTCGTAGCTCTTGTCCTTCAGTTCAGGGAGCCACTTAGTGGCATGTCGTTGTGTGAGTTTGGTGTGAGTCGAGCGCACTGAGCGTCGGTACAGTATCTCACAAGTGTCTGCTCTAGACCACACTTGAAAGTAGACTAGCCAATGTTCGCTACACCGCTGCTTATATTGCTCGGGCAACACCTCACCGTGTTGCCCGGGCAACGCCTCACCTCATTCATCTCCAAAGGTTGACAGGAATATTAACACTATATTTGGAGCGAGTATATTATTGGGATAATCTACTCGCTACACACCTTTTCCAGTTTGTTGATGTGCTTCTTAAGATATGGGCACCATACAACCGCTGCATATTCCAGCTTTGGTCTAATAAAAGTCGTGAACAATTTCTTTAGTATTTCTCCATCCATGTATTTAAAAGCAATTCTGAGGTTAGAAAGTATAGCATAGGCTCCTCATACAATGTTCTTAACCCTTAAAGTGCGCATCACTTCATATGAAGTGTAAATCGTTTTACCAGTCAACTGCGCTTCACTTCATATGAAGTGTATGGGTACCGCGCACGATTTGAATGGCCCGCGGTGTAGCTGGGGGTCCCATACGCTGCCCAGGGGCTCTAGTAAACAGCGGCCATTTTGAAAAAAAATCCAGCTCACGATTCGATGGCATGGGAGGCCTCAGTTTAGCGAGAGTCACCATGGCGAGCGCACGGTCAAACGCCTCACGGGCACGCACCACTCAGTCCCTCACCCCAGAGCAAATAGCCTACGAATTATTCTCTGAAGGTGAAGAAAGTGTGTTTGACGATTCAGACAACGATGAGGATTATACACAGTTGTCCGGTGATAGTAGCAGCAGCAGTGAAAGTGAGAATGACCGCCATGCCATGGCGAGGCCTATACGCTCTCCCATGCCTCCTCGCCCATTTTCTACCCCAATTCTACCACGACCTCACAGTTCTTGTGGCTATTTTCTGTTTGAGGGTGACGAGTCAGAGGGAGGTGACTCCTTTTCTGGGTTTAGTGACTCAGATCAAAGTTTTATTGAGCCTGTGGCTGGTACCAGTGGTGTAACTGGGCGAGAAATTGTCGCGTCAGCAGCATCTCGCCCGGCCAAGCGCCACCGCATGGCACCACATGAGGGACCAAGACCCTCGTGTTCACGTGCACCCACCTCACGTGCACGTAGCCGCCGTGCTTCTCGCAGACGGTATTCAGCTCCTGGTCGCCGGTATGCATCGCTTCCTCGCCGTCTTTCCTCTGCATCTCGCAGGACGCCTGGTGTACTTGAGTGGAGTGATGGTGACGATTTTATTCCTAATATTCCTCACTTTGACGATATAGATGTAGGGATTACAAACCTTTTCCCTAATCAAGGTGAGGACATGGCTGAGATGGAATATTTTACAGCATTCTATGATGAACCACTCATGGAATACATTGTACACCAAACGAACCTGCATGCTGCTTACCTGATTGAGAGGGAAATCACAGAATTTTCACGACTGCAGCGTTGGAAAAATACCAGTGGCGGAAATGTATGTGTTTTTGGCACTCTGTTTGTTGATGAAGCACTGTCACAAACATGCAATAAATGACTATTGGAGCAAGGACAAGACAATACCAACACCTTTATTCGGGAAATATATGTCACGAGACAGGTTTCAGATACTCCTCAGGTGTCTACATTTTGGAAGTGTTCAGGACCGAACACCTGATGATAGACTGTGGCGAGTGAGGCACTACATGAACGATGTTATTGGAAAATTCAGAGATTTTTACATACCAGCACAGAAGCTGGTGGTTGATGAATCTCTCATACTTTTCAAGGGACGTGTTCCATTCAAACAGTACATTCCCTCAAAACGAAACCGATTTGGCCTGAAATTTTTTGTTCTTTGTGATTGTGAGACAGGATACGTGTTACACATGATTCTGTACTCGGCTAGTGATGTAGACATTCCCGGTAACGACGAACATGGATTCTCGGGGAGTGTAGTGAAGACCATCATGGCTCCGTGGATGAACAAGGGACACATTTTATACACAGATAATTACTATACAAGTCCCTTGCTAGCTCGGTTCTTGCTAGAAAATAGAACCGGATTGGTTGGTACAGTAAAGCCACAGCGAAGGGAAATGCCTGTGTTTGACAACGACATTGCAGTTGGTGAGTGTCAGAGAAGGAAAAGTGATAACATTCTGTCAGTTCGGTGGAAAGACAAAAGAGAGGTGAACTTGTTGACAACAATTCATGATGGAACAATGGTGAACAGTGGGAAAGTGAGCCATAAAACAAACGCACCACTATATAAGCCAGACTGTGTTTTAGACTATAATATCAACATGCGGTTGATTGATAAATCAGACATGATGATTGGCACTGCAGAGTGTGTGCGGAAGACATGTACCTACGAAAAAAGTGTTCTTCCATCTTGTGGACATGAGCATGCTGAACTGTTTCAACATGTACCTTGTGAGAACTGGACGTAAGCCCACTTTCCGTGACTTTGTATTTGATGCTGCAATACAGTTATTAGGAAAGTTTGCAAAAGATGTCCCAGGTATTCAGCGGCCCATCATAAACCCACTGTTGCAGCATGCTGGTACTCCACGCCTCGCTCACACTGAAGGCTTCCTAGCACACAAACTTCAGTATTTGCCACCTGGTGTGAAGCGTGCAATAGCCCAACGTGATTGCTTGGTGTGTAAAACAACGACACGTAGAGACAAGAAACGGAAGCTTGTGCAAACATGGTGTGAAACGTGTGGTATCCCATTATGTGCTGTCGACTGCTTCAATGACTACCACAGTCTAGAAATCTTCTAAGTGTGCTTCAAAGTGTGTATAGCGTGTGCGAGTGTGTAAATATGTAAACATATAAGCAGATAGCGTGTGCGTGTGTGTAAATATATACAAATATAAGCAGAACATACAATATAATAGACTGTAATGACATATTATATTGCCGTAATTGAAAACATTTGTGTGCGCCTGTGTATACTCAAATATGCAACAATTATTGATACAAAATATGTTCAAACAGTATTTGAAACACAATTAGTGAAAAAAAAATAGATAAAATGCGCTTAGACATTGTAAATAAATAGCGCGAAAATATATTTGTGGCAACTCTGGCTGTTTGAGGACCGCGCGCAACATCTCCCGGGCGAAGAATCTGCATGAGCGAACATGCAGATTGTGACGTCATCACCGAGCTTCTCGGCTCTATTGCAACAAAAGTAAGTACAATAGAATTTTTTTATTATTTTTCCCGTGATCAGTGAACAGAACTTAACAGATTAGCAAAAAAAAAAATTTTTTTTTTTTTTCAAAATGACATGCGCCTGTGTGGATAGCAGGATATTAGACCCCGAGCATGTTAAGGGTTAATGTGGTCCTCAGGTGACAGTTTTCTATCTAGAATCACCCCTAGATCCCTTTCTTTGTCAGAATTCTTTAAAGATTTCTCACATAATTTTTTGGTTGTGTGGGGTCTATGTTCTCCAATTCCACATTCCATAACATGGCATTTATTCACATTAAATTCCATTTGCCAAGTGTTGCTCCATATACTTATTTTGTCCAGGTCTTCATGAAGGGCATGACAATCATCTAGGTTTCTTATCTTCCCTATTATCTTAGCATCATCAGCAAACATGTTCATGTAATTCTGTATTCCCACTGGTAGATCTTTATGGAGACAATGAACATTACCGGTGCAAGAACTGATCCCTGTGGTACTCCACTCGTGACATTCCTCCAATCCGATACCTTGCCTCTGATTACGGCCCTCATTTTTCTGTCAGTTAGGAAATTTTTCATCCATGTTAGTAGCTTACTTGTCACCCCTCCAATATGTTCCAGTTTCCAGAACAATCTCTTATGGGGAACTCTGTCGAAAGCCTTTTTTAGGTCCAGATAGATGCAGTCAACCCAACCATCTCTTTCCTGTAAAATCTCTGTGGCTCGATCATAAAAACTTAGTAAGTTCGTTACACAGGATCTTCCAGATCGAAAACCATACTGTTTGTCTGATATTATATCGTTTTCCTCCAGGTGTTCTACCCATTTAGTTTTAATTGTTTGTTCCAATATTTTGACTTTACACTTGTCATTACTCACCTAGTTGTGTTTGCGGGGGTTGAGCTCTGGCTCTTTGGTCCCGCCTCTCAACCGTCAATCAACAGGTGTACAGATTCCTGAGCCTATCGGGCTCTGTCATATCTACACTTGAAACTGTGTATGGAGTGAGCCTCCACCACATCACCCCCTAATGCATTCCATTTGTCAACCACTCTGACACTAAAAAAGTTCTTTCTAATATCTCTGTGGCTCATTTGGGCACTCAGTTTCCACCTGTGTCCCCTTGTGCGTGTTCCCCTTGTGTTAAATAGACTGTCTTTATCTACCCTATCAATCCCCTTCAGAATCTTGAATGTGGTGATCATGTCCCCCCTAACTCTTCTGTCTTCCAGCGAAGTGAGGTTTAATTCCCGTAGTCTCTCCTCGTAGCTCATACCTCTCAGCTCGGGTACTAGTCTGGTGGCAAACCTTTGAACCTTTTCCAGTTTAGTCTTATCCTTGACTAGATATGGACTCCATGCTGGGGCTGCATACTCCAGGATTGGCCTGACATATGTGGTATACAAAGTTCTGAATGATTCTTTACACAAGTTTCTGAATGCCGTTCGTATGTTGGCCAGCCTGGCATATGCCGCTGATGTTATCCGCTTGATATGTGCTGCAGGAGATAGGTCTGGCGTGATATCAACCCCCAAGTCTTTTTCCTTCTCTGACTCCTGAAGAATTTCCTCTCCCAGATGATACCTTGTATCTGGCCTCCTGCTCCCTACACCTATCTTCATTACATTACATTTGGTTGGGTTAAACTCTAACAACCATTTGTTCGACCATTCCTTCAGCTTGTCTAGGTCTTCTTGAAGCCTCAAACAGTCCTCTTCTGTTTTAATCCTTCTCATAATTTTAGCATCGTCCGCAAACATTGAGAGAAATGAATCGATACCCTCCGGGAGATCATTTACATATATCAGAAACAAGATAGGACCGAGTACAGAGCCCTGTGGGACTCCACTGGTGACTTCACGCCAATCGGAGGTCTCACCCCTCACCGTAACTCTCTGCTTCCTATTGCTTAGATACTCCCTTATCCACTGGAGCACCTTACCAGCTACACCTGCCTGTCTCTCCAGCTTATGTACCAGCCTCTTATGCGGTACTGTGTCAAAGGCTTTCCGACAATCCAAGAAAATGCAGTCCGCCCAGCCCTCTCTTTCTTGCTTAATCTGTGTCACCTGATCGTAGAATTCTATCAAGCCTGTAAGGCAAGATTTACCCTCCCTGAATCCATGTTGGCGATTTGTCACGAAGTCCCTTCTCTCCAGATGTGTTACCAGGTTTTTTCTCACGATCTTCTCCATCACCTTGCATGGTATACAAGTCAAGGACACTGGCCTGTAGTTCAGTGCCTCTTGTCTGTCGCCCTTTTTGTATATTGGGACCACATTCGCCGTCTTCCATATTTTAGTGTGAGGTGGGGAGAGGGGGTGACCAGGAAGGAGATCACAGACGTGTGATCTGTGTCTTTCCAGTCTCGCCCACCCACCCACCTGTTCACCCACCTGCCTGCATGCTCACCTACCTGCATACTCACCCACCCACCCATCTGCCTGCTTGCCCACCCACCCACCTGTTCACCCACTTTCCTGCACCATCTACCTATTCACCCACCTGCCTGCACAGACCTGCCAGGCCACCCACCTGTTCACCGACCCATCTGTTCACCTACCCGCCTGCTCGCCCACCCACCCACCTGTTTACCCACTTCCCTGCCCACCCCCCAGGCTGTTCGCCCACCCACCTGCCTGATAGCCGACCTGCCTGCTCAACCCACCCACCCACCCACTTGTTCACTCACCTGCCTGCTTGCCCATCCACCTGCCTGATAGCCCACCCACCAACCTGTTCACCCACCTGCCTGATAGCCCACCGACCCACCTATTCACCCACCTGCCTGCTTTCCCAACCACCCACCCACTTGCCTGCTCGAACCTGTTCACCCACCAAGCCCATCTACCTGCCATCCACCCATCCAAAACCTCCCTGCCTGCCCACCCACCTGCCTGATAGCCCACCGACCCACCTATTCACCCACCTGCCTGCTCGTCCACCCACCCACCCACTTGCCTGCTCGAACCTGTTCACCCACCAAGCCCATCTACCTGCCATCCACCCATCCAAAACCTCCCTGCCTGCCCACCCACCTGCCCTGCCCACCCACCTGCCCTGCCCACCTACCAGCCACCCAGCCCCACACACTAATTAGTGTGTGTCAATTCAAATCATGATTGTGGTATAAAAATTGTTGGAAATGTTCCCTTTTGGACTCCGAGTTGAAAAAGTACTTTAAACCAGAAAAACGTGCCAATCCGGCGGGGGTCCTTCCCATATAGTCCAGATTAGCGGGTTTATACAGTACGCATCACTGTGGAAAATTATATACAAAATTATACATGGATGAATATCATGTGTTCCTAACACCAACCTGTTATAAGCTAATTAACAATTCATGGACATGTTTATATACCTTGTTCCTTGAGTGCATTCTTGTCAAAGCGAAAATTTCTAAGCCCAATCCCTCTCTGTTCTTTTTCATCAAATGTTCCTTCTCTCTTATTTGAAGGCTTTATAGGGGTAAGTTGCCCTACATCTTCAACATTCGTATCACTGCTCCCAAATATGTCACAGTTTACTGAAAAAAATGAAAAACATTTAAATCAGGTTCAGTTACATCAAAAGGCAAATTCAAGATGACACCTTTCAGCAAATTATGGGGTTACCTTATAGGTTCCCATAGTCAGCGGGAAACACGAAGCCTGTTAGGCTTACAGAGGTCCCCCCTATTGGCCGACTACTGACCTACATACTCAATAAAATTCCCTCAGCAATTATCTACATTATTAGGACCACCTAGAAATTTTTTATCTGTATTCTCTAGAGTGCAGGCAGGAGAGAACCAATAATAATTTACACTTTGTAAATATTAGAAAGACTGGTTTCTAATTTGCACACACACAAATAACACCACATGAGACCAGAAGGCATGGCAGGATGTGTAAAACAGCCCCACTGAAAAGCAGAGGTGCAACCGGCATGCTGAGAGAGACCTTGATCAGCATAAAAGGGCCAGGAATTTTCAACACTCTTCCACTACACTTACGAGGCATAAAACCAGCGTTGAATGTAATGAAATGCCATTTTCTGCCCGGAGGCTCCTCGGAGCTATCCAGTCTGATATTGCTAATGTCAGACTTTGGCATCAGTCATGTGTATGAAGTTCTTAGGACTACCGGGGACCACGAGCCAGAACCTGGCCCCCTCAGAGAGGCACGAGGAACAATGGCCTATAGAAACCCCCCATGTGGTTGGAAGCATTCTATGTCTGCCATTGACCGAGTCAGGCACCCAGAAAGGTAAGCATCCCAAAACAAACCCCTATTCTGGTTAAGAAATTGCTACTGAGAGCTGAACTAGTGGACAGAACTCCCAAAATAAAAATGAGCTAACGAGCGTGACATCACCATGCTGCCATCTGCACAGCTCCCCCCTCCCCAGGAAGGGGAAGGGGGGAAGCCCCAGACCCCTCGTGCTGGCAACCCAAGAATTCAGTTCTGAGATTGGATATCAAAACATGCAAAAAAAAAAAGCCAACCGGACGGAGGGAGGGTTGCCAGGAAGCCTCCGGGTCTCACCCAGAAAATGGTGTTTCATTACATTCAACACTGGTTTTCTGGGGGAAGCCCCGTCAGCTCCCCAGGGCTACCTACCTTAAGACGAAACAAGGGGGACCTAACCCAGGAGACGGAAGTCACCCACTCCCCAAAGCAAAGCATAGACAAAAGACCTAAGCCACCCTAAGGCCACACAGGCCCGACAAGGCCCAGGAACATCAATGAAGGAACGCATGGCCCACCGATGAACGTTGCGGGCACAGGGAGAGACAATAGACTGGTTGGATAACCAGCCTGCATAATTATTGTGTAATAACAGCACGAACAGTATGCTGGGAGCAGCCATTCCTGGAAACACAAACCAAAACTCTCTATTTTCCACTTGTTACAACTTGTAATATAATTGTTACATCTTGGCTTAATGTGTTTATGATGTATTAGAACATTGTTACAACTTGTTATATTGGTTGTCACATTTATATATAAAACTGGTTAGGAAGTGTCAAAACTTGTTCGAACGTTGTACCAACGTCGTAGTTTCGGTGTGTGTTTGGCGGGATGTACATGAGGGAGGAAGTAAGGCTGTCGCCTGCTAGCTGCTGTCACTTGTCATGCAGTTTTTTGTGACCACTGTGTTGTTTGGGGACCATACCACCTTAGTTATAGTTATGGTGAATAAAACATGTAGATACTTATATATAACGTGTGTATATAGCGTAATAACAGCACAAACAGTGGGATGAGGAATGTTGGTGAGAGAGGTAGCATTGTCTGCTGGCTGGGGTATTGGTGGCCACTTTGTTGTTTGGACACCATACCAGCTTAGTTGTACAGTTGGTTCACACATTTTATTATATAAATATATCACACTACACACTATTAAATAATATTACTGAAAGAACTATCATTGAATGTAATCAAGCGCCATTTTCAGGGAGAGCCCCAGAGGCTCCATGGAGCTTATCGGGCTAATGTGTTTTATATTAGATCGGAACATTAGCTATGGAGTTCAGACCTACCATGGACCATGAGCCAGAACCTGGCCCCTTCAGAAAGGTTTCAGGGAGCAATGGCCCTGGAAAACCCCTTGTGGTTGGGGGTTTTCCTTATCTGCCATCGACCGGAACAGGGATTAGGCACCCAGAAAGGTAGGCATAACAAAACAAACCCCTCATGGTAAGAAACTAAAACAAAAAAATGAACAGAAATGTAGAATTCCCATCAATCCTAAGGAAACAAGCAAACAAGCAAACATTACCCTCTACTGCCGCACCGCATGTCCACGCAGCCCTCCACTCCCCGAGAGGGGAAAGGGCTGGACCTCACCGCAACGCCTGCAAAGCAATCCAGTTCAGAAGCTAAGCTTCTACCCACGCAAAAATAAACGCAGACCGGTATGAGGGAGGGTTGCCAGGGAGCCTCCAGGGCTCACCAAGAAAATGGTGTTTCATTACATTCAACACTGGTTTTCTGAAGGGAGCCCCTACGGCTCCCTGGAGCTACATACAGAAAGAGAAGGAAAAAGAGGGACTTACCCAGGAGGTGGGCACCACAAACACCTCAAAGCGAAGTCGAAACAACTGGCTGCAACCTGCGACCCAAAGCAACACAAGAACGCCCAGGAGCAGGCAAGTTCACCACATAACGGGCGGCTAGGACCCTGTTCGACCTCCAAAAATCCTCACGCATAATATATTAGCCCAAGACATGTTACCAAACACAGCAGCCAAAGCTGCAAATTTCCAAACGTCATGGGCGCGAGTATAGACTGCAGGCTGGTTAGACTGACTTAATAATTAAACCTGCGAATGACCTGGGAGACCCGAGCCTTGGAACAAGGAACGAGGGGAAACCAGATCAACCCAAAGCGCATCACCAGCCACCACAGCCGAGGTGCGCAGGTAACAGCAACGAGTTGCAATTGGACACAACCTACCGAATGCACCCCCGGCCGAACCAACCAAACATCAATAACGCAAGGACCCCTCCGGAAATCAGCCATCTCGTTCTTCGCCAGAAAAGACGGAGAAAGCTGCAAACATACAAATCTACCACCAGGACCAAAGGAGCAGAAACTCCTGTGCTGGAGGAGAGCATGAAGCTCCCCGACCCGACCCCCAGAGGCCAATGCCAACTAAACCAGGGCCTTGGAAAAATGATTTTGAACCGAAGGGGCCACCACAAACCTAGGAGAGGAAAGATAAGCGAGCACCCTGACCAAGGACCAGGACGGCTCAGACAGCGCATGAGCAGGCCGGAGGTGAAACAAAGCACGAGAAAGCTTACAGAACGGGGCGGATGTGACGTCCACCCCGAACGCAAGTTGGAGTGGCTCCACCAGCGCTGCACGATACGAGGCGACAGTATTAGGCATCAAATGTCGTTCCTGAAAAAGCCAGAAAGAAAGGACAAGATAACTCAATCCGAAAGAGAAGACAACCTACAAAGAGCAAGAAAATGGGGAAAAGAACGCCAGGAAACTTCTGTCGCCAAGACGAAGCTCGCAGGTGGGACACCATCAATGAAACCACCTGATCACCATAGAGATGGTGATACATCCGTGTCAAAAGGACCAGACGCGAAGACCAGAGGAGAAGGTCGAACCAGCCACGTATCGGATCGGTCCGACCTGCTGAAAGAGGCAGAGCCACGGGAAACACCTCGGGTTCAGACACCAAGCAAGCAGCGCCTAAAACCAAGGCTAGGCCAGCCACCAAGGGGCCACGAGGACTGCTCTCCCTGGGAAGGATTCCAACCGAGCCAAAAGCTGAAGCAACAGTTGGACCAAGGGGAAGAGGTACAGGTAACCCTACCTCAACCAGTCCTGCCAAAAGGCATCCCCCGCCAATGCCTCGCAGTCGGGGAAGGGTGCCACATAGACTGGGAGACACCGAGACCACGCCGACAGGAAGAGGTCCATGTGTGGGAGTCCGTACGTCTAGCAGAGCCAACCCCAAGGAACCAACCCCAAAGAGGCAAGGTCCGAACTGAACCCCCGCGGTTCAGGCAATGAACCACAGGAGTACAGTCCGAATGGAGCCGGATGGTCGAGCCCCGAGTGACCCGAACCCTCTGAAGCGCAAACCAGACCGTCACGAACTCCCGAACCATGCTATGAGCCTGACGGAAGGACGGACCCCACCGTTTCCTTAAGTACTAAATTAAGTTCCTTGCATATTAAGTTCCCTTTCAAGTTAAGTATCCCCTCGTTAGTTAAGTGTTCCCCCTTATTTAAGTAATTCTCGTATATAAGTGTTATTATTTTCTAAGTATTTTTTTTTTCTACATTTTTAAGTCAGGAGTTTTTGTTTTCGTGTTGTGCAGTATTAATTCTCTGAGAGTATTACTAAGGTGAGTGGTTTTACTGTTTTCAAGTGAAGTGAAGTGCAGTGCATTAAAGTGAATTCAGTGAAAGACTTAGTGAAAATCGTGGAAAATTTTTGTGATGACATTTTTCAAAGTCGCTTGGAAAATCTCGATTTTGGGAATAAATTCTAGTTTTGTGTCTAGCCATACCTTCATCGGGTCGTCAGTGATAATTCAAGTGTGCGATTAAAGTGATCAGAGTTAGAACTTTGAGAGACCAAAAGTCGATTTTTGGTCAGTTAAGCGAATTAGTGTTGGGACTGAATTTTCTAGCGGTTTTACTCGGCGCTCAGTGAGACAGCGGTCTGTAATTGTTTGCGCTCTCCCAAGTGTCCAAGTGTCTAGTGAGTGTTATATTCGGGTAAAGTAACAAGCCAACTACGCGCCAGTATTTAATTTATAATTTTGGGAAAATAATTTTTAATTTTTAATTAAGATTCAGCGCGAATCTGTAGCTGTGAGCGTCGCAGCTATCAGTGTTAATCTCTCAGTATTCTACAACGCGACCGGCGGTGAATAAGTTTATACTATGTAAACATAGAATTCATTAAGTAACGTAAATAAGTAATTTATCATTAATTTTTGTTTAATTAATAAATACTTATAATTATTTCTGAGCGCCGTTGTCAGCGTTGGGCGTTAAGAATTAAATAAT